CTGTCCAGTTTTATTGCTTTCCATTATTCTGTCTTCCTTCTCACTGATCCATTCTTGTGCATTTTCTAGCCTATTATATATTCTCTCTAATATATTGTTAATTTCTGTTATTCTTCATCTCTGATTTTTTTTTTATATTTTCTATCTCTGTTGAATGTCTTGCTGAGATCCTCTACTCTTTTCTCAAGTCCAGTTAGTATCTTTATGACAATTATTTTGAATTCTCTATCAGGTATATTGTTTATCTCTGTTTCATTTAACTTTTTGGCTGTGTTTTTTTTTTCCTTTTCTCTCATTTGGGACATATTCTTCTATTTCCTCATTTTATCTACTTTCTGTTTGTTTCTATGGTTGGAAAATCAGCTATGTCTTCAGATCTTGAAACTATTGGCCTTGGGAAGAAGAGGTCCTGTAGTGCCCTGTAGTTTCCCTGTTCACCAGAACCAGGTGCTTCAGTGTTGTCTTCTATGTGTGTTGCATGTGTACTACTCTTTGTTTAAGTTGTGTTTGCCTTCAGTCCACTCAGCTGCAATGGCTCTTTGTGCTGTTGCAAGCATGGTTTGTCCCCTGTGCTTTTAAGGGGCCAGTCTGGGGCACCTTGGTCTTATATTTGCATCAGACCAGAAGTCTTCCCTCAGCCATTTGCTGAGGCTTAGGTTGCATTGAACTGTAGGGTGCTATTGCTGTGTTGTCTCCTGAGAGGATTTTCTTGGTGGGCAGGTCTTGCTGTCAGACCACATGTTTGCCTCAGTAGATCTGCTGAGTTTTCAGTGACTTTGAACTACAGTGTTCTCTCCTTATGCTTCCTCCTGTGAGGTTTTTTTTTTTTTTTTTTTTTTTTTTTTGTGGCAGGGCCAACAGTCAGTTCAGATGTCTGCTCAGACCACTACTGGGGGTGTAGTTGAACTGGTGTGGGATGTTATCTTCCTCTTTTTCCAGGACAGGCAAGTATCACTTTGGAGTAGTGCTAGTTACCTCTGGGGCTTATTGGATGAGAACTGGCCACAGCTACTTTGGAGGAACTCCTGCCAAGTGGGTTGGGTTGGATGGGGCAAGTCTGTAGGAGACCATAGGTTGGATGATCTTGGTGTTAGTAAGCTATGTGGGAACTGTTTATGCTGGTTCCTGCAGGTATCTGGGTATCATGGTTGGAGGGTGGGTTACAGAAATGGTGCCTGCCAGCTTTTTTGTTCTTGGATAAATCTCTTAAAGATCCTTGCCCCCACCCCCAGTGAACGTTCTCAGTTTAGTAAATAAATCACTTTTTCATATACCCAGGTGTTTTCAACCAGCAACCAGCTGCTTCTATGTTCTATCTTGCCAGAGTTGTTTATTATGTTGTTTCTTTAAGGGTAGGGATTCATTTTCTTCCTTCCAGCTTTCCCAGAGCTGAGCCTGGTGATTTTTAAAGTACCTGAAGTCAAGCCCCACTGATTGTAACAACTCATGAAGTTAAGTCCCACTTGTTTACAAAGCCAAATGTTACGTGGACTTGTCTTCCCATTACAGGTTCCTCATGTCTGGGGTCCCTGGCTTGGGGGATGTTCCTCTCCCTTCTTTGAAATTATGGTACACCTCCCATTTGTAGTTAGTCTCACCAGATGTTTGGTTACCAAATGGGTCTTTGCCTCTATTACCATTTTTGATGTGACCTTCTCTCTACAGTTAGGTGTGGAGAATCTGTTCTGCCAGTTTGGGATTGCTTTCTGGGTTAATTGCAATGATATGGCTGTTATTTACTTGTATTCATGGGAGCATGTGAACTTAGGATCCTCTTACTCTGCTATCTTCCCAAGCTCTCCCCAATTTTGCTCCTTTAGTATCAGACAAAGGCATTCTAACCCAGGTTGTGCACATGAAGAATAAAATAAGTGTGCTTCTTTTCCTACCTCTGGTGCAGTGGTGCTTACTGAAAAAGGCCCACAAATTTACATTGCTCTGAAGTCCAATATCACCTTCAAAGCTTCTAAATTTTTTGCTGTTGTAGTTACTAAAGGAATAGTAAAGTTAGATATTGAGGTATATATTTAATTATCTCAAAAGACCATTTAAAAGTCAATTAAAAATGAAAAATCATATTATTAAAGTGAAAGCCAGGAGATTTATCAGACCATAAACTTTACAAGTTTTAAAGTTTATGGTCTGATATGAGTATACAAAACCATTTATGTTTATTCTAGAGAATAAAATACAAAGCATTGCCTTAATATTTGACATTATTTTTTGAATGCTGAAACTCTATTGGCTGAACAAAATAAAAACACCAAATGTATAATGAAAATGAGCTTGAATAGCTGATGTATTTTCAAAGGATATTAGAAACCAATGGAATGTATGTAAAGACTGTGGCATGGTAATGCCACAGAGTATTATATAGATATTAGAAATTATAAACACTAAAGTCCTTCAAATTTAATATTCTAGGATAGTATACAATATTCTTAAGATGTTTTTCCAAATAAAATCATAGGCTTTAGTTCATGGTACTTGTGTTCATGTATTTAAAAAATTAAGCATATAGTTATTTAAACCTGTTTTGTAAAATAAACAAATAAATCATTGAAAAAAACCTTCACTTTTACTCCTTATTTTGAAGGTAGAAAATGGTTCAGCAGGATATCATAGCAAATTAAGAAACTGAGTTCTGGAGTCAGACTGCCTAGATTTGAACCCTAGTTCTGATCCTTACTAGCTGTCTGACAAAGGGCAAGTTACTTAATTTCTTTGTGTTTCAGTTTTTAAATCAGAAAAATAGGAGTAAGAATAGTATATATATTACAGGGCAATTATAAACATTAAATGAGGTAATATAGATAAAACACTTAAAACAGAATAAAAGGTCATTAATTAAGTACCATGATTTAAAGGCATAATTTTCAACCTCAAGGAATTGATAATTCCATAAAGTGATAAGTCCACTTTGGGAGAAAATACTTATACATAAGAAAAAACTAGAAAATAATTATTAAACAGTTTCATACAAGATATAAACATAAATGATGTAAAGAACAAAAACAAATTTGTGGTTAGCTTGTAGGTATGCTTCTCTGTGGGAGAAAGTGGGACTGCTAGCAAAAGTGAGAACATAAGAAAACACCGAGAAGTGGGAATAAGTAAGACACAAGGTTTTTAAATTTGCATTAGAATTTAATTATGCCCATATTTTGTTCTAAATCTTTCAAAATTTAGAATCGATGTTGTAAATATGAATCGGTATATTTAAGTAACAAAACCATTTATAAGTACTTTAGAATTAAAGGTAAAACTTTAACATATGAATGTTAATATACATATGTATGTTATGATCACACTTGAGTTTCAAAAATGCCCTGTAAAAAAAAGGCAAGACAAGTGTTTTTATTACCATTTTACAAATGAGGAAGTTGAAAATCAGAATTCATGTCACTTGCTTAAAGTTACACCACTAGTAAGTACTAGAGACCAGATTAGCAACCAGGTCTTCTGCTTCCAATTTAGTGCTCTTCCATCACGCTATACTTACTGAATAGCAGAAAGCTAAGAACACGAGAAATGAAGACTGAATGTTTTGGTAGATATTATGTTTGATCTTCACCTCAAACAGGGAAAAAATGGTATAGGATAAAACTGTAGATACTGCCAAATCTCAGGTATTTTAAAAATAAATGGATACCAGTTAGATATACTATGCCTTAGAGTTCCTCTTCTTTTTGTTTTGAGTGTTTTCCTAAGGGGTTGCGACATTAGAAGTGAAATAGAAATAACATACACATGGAAGATTCAGATAGAATCCTTTCATAGCTTTTTTCTTCACCATTATCATTTATTTTCTCTGAGGTAATGTGCCTTTTGAAACACAGAATGAAGGAACAGACCACACTTCAGCAAAAGCTTGCCCATGAATATTATATTTCAGCCTTAATCAAGTTGGTATGTTTAAAGAACAAAGCTTCCACTGTAATATAAAACCCGATGTAAACATCTCCTTGATATTTCTATCTACTTGCCAATAGAGAAGAAAAAGTACAAAATAATAATAAAACTTGTAATTAACTTCCATGCATAAGTGCATGTCATAGAGCAAAATCTCTGATATAGTTACATAAATATAAGTACTTCCAAAACAACTTATAGTATCAACATTCAAATTTTATTAAAAAACCCACTGTAGGTAGTTTTGATCCCAATAAGTCTGTAGAAAAATAAAACCCTTTCCCTCTTCTTTAGGTAAATTTTAAATTGCTTCTGTTCCTATATGGGACTGTCAGTTGTTTGGTTCTTAAGGAAGAATTGTAGGGAGAAAATTCCCTGTAAGAACTTCAATAAGCAAAAAAACCTCCATCATTCTCTTTTGAGGGCCTGGGTCAGGAACAGAAGGAAATTGGACACAAACTAGCTTTTGACCAAATTCATATTCCTCAGTTTCCAGGTTGCACATTGCATGGAGTCTTTAGGGCCATTTGGCTGCATATTAGGGTGTTCTAACACTTGCATATTCTGTTTTGGAAGAAATGGCCCTACTTTGCCTAGTCATTCAATACTACAAAGAAAGAGGGTGACAGGACATTTTATGTAACTCCTGGATCATTCCAGTTCTCATCTAACGGCATGCATACAAAGGAATATGTTAGAGTGATTGGGGACTAATTGCTAATTTTGTACCTTAAAGGACTAGTTCTTAAAGGACTAGTTCTTATCCTTTGTGAAACTTTTATTTGAGGGAGAAAACTTTGATTTCAGATCCATTTTTTACAATGCCAACAAAAATGTTCTTCACCTTTCAGTGAATGATCAAAAAACTACTTATAATTTAGTTAATAGTTGTGGACTGAATTTTTAAAACTTAAAATATCCTTAGGACCTCTAACAATGTGGATTCATAAATGAGATATATTTATAGGCGTACATGCAGTTAAGTACTTATAAATTATTAATGGAAATACTCATATTTTGTAGATAATTTGAGGTAATATTTGTTTGGGAAACTTTTTTCAATGATTTTCATTGGAAATGGGTTTAAATTATTCTCTACATGTTTCTTCTCCTTTTTCTGGCAAAGAGCCCTTTTTCTTGGTTGCATAAGTCACACTGGACAGGGAATGCTTTCTAAATGTAGACAGTCTTCTCCTAAAGCTCCCCCCTGAAAAGAAATATAAGAGAGGGTCAAAGCAACAATTTGATGCAGCCAGAGACAAGGTTATGACCACTGACTTTTGCATTCTAAGAACAGAATCACAAGGTTTAGTTTCATTGTGTAAAAAATTAAGGTGGATGGTGCGTTGAATATGATATGGCATGAAGCTAATCAAAAAGGCAGCTGTCACAACTATGATCATTCCTACAGCTTTTTTGCGGCTTGATAGATTTTTCTTCAGTGAATTTTTAAGTAAGGTTAAAATGATCATTGTGTAACAGACAATTATAATAACAAAAGGAATGATAAATCCAACAAACAATGACACATAATGCAAGACCAAAACATAATTTTTAGCTTGATTGTCCTGTGGAGGCTCAAAGCACTTGGTATTGTTTTTGTCATCTTTGTAAGTTTTGGACATAAGAAATGGAGAACTGGTCAAAATCACAAAAATCCAAATGCCAACACATACAAACCTGGCTTTCTTCTGTGTAATCAAATTAATGTTCTGGACTGGAAAAACAATTGCAATACACCGGAAAAAGCTCATGGCTGTCATAAAGAAGATACTACAATAGAGGTTGACATACAAGGCATAGGTGCTGAGACAGCACAAAAAGTCACCAAAAAGCCAAATGCCTTTGTGAACATAATAGACTACACGGAGAGGCAGTGTACACACACACACAGTAGATCTGCTACTGCTAAATTAATCATGTATACTTGGAAAGCTGACTTCTTGTGATATGTTTTTATGAGGACATAGAGCACAAAGCTATTTCCAAAGAAACCCACAACAGAGATCATAGAGTACAAGGTGGAATACACTTGATTGCGGAAGTCATCAATAGTGTCATTGCACGTGTTGTTATTGGCAGAAGATAATGTCAGATTCCCGACTCCATCCATGTTTCTCTAGGACTGTATCCTTGGTACCTAAAAAAATATATATACTATATGTGTATATATATATATATATATATATATATATATATCCTTGTCAATTTTTATTAGACAATAAATTACAGGGCTTATTAAGATTTCATTTTATAGGGGCGCCTGGGTGGCTCAGTGGGTTAAAGCCTCTGTCTTCGGCTCAGGTCATGGTCCCAGGGTCCCAGGGTCCTGGGATTGAGCCCCATATCAGGCTCTCTGCTCAGCGGGGAGCCTGCTTCCTCCTCTCTCTCTGCCAGCCACTCTTCCTACTTGTGATCTCTGTCTGTCAAAAAAATAAAATCTTTAAAAAAAAAGATTTCATTTTATATTGTCATTATATATACTTTTTGACCATGGCAGGAAGCAGAGATGGTGGGGCAATAAAGAGGGATTCAGCAGCACCTTGCTTCCAGGAGAAGGTTTTGGGTCCTATAGGCATCAAGAAAACTCTTTTTCCCTCCTTTTCCACCCAAGTTGGTTTAATGGACTTCCTTCTAATCTTCAAAACCTAGCCAGGATAACTCTGCTTTTCTTTTAATTCATATTACTCTTGTGCTATTCTGTAAATCTTCCTTTTTAATTGAGTTTTTCTATTAGATAAAATCTTTAATGATAGTCATTTTTCATAAATATAAATATCCATATATCCATCCTTTATCTATCTACAGCTATCTATCTATCATCATCTATCTATTGGAAGAGCATTGTATTTTCTTGGAGAATAAAATCTAGGTGAAAATACTCAGTTCCCAGAGGAACCTGGGTGGCTCAGTGGGTTAAAGCCTCTGCCTTCAGCTCAGGTCATGATCCCAGGGTCCTGGGATTCAGCCCCACATTGTGCTTTCTGCTCAGCAGGGAGCCTGCTTCCTCCTCTCTCTCTGCCTGCCTGTCTGCCTACTTGTGATCTCTGTCTGTCAAATAAATAAATAAAATCTTAAAGAAAAAAAAAAGAAAATACTTGGTTTCTTCAAGAAAAGGGCTTCCCAGGTAACATCTGCTGGTTGATGCTCATTTAATTGTTTTAATGAGGGAAAATTCCAAAGAGGTAAAAAAAATTTTTAAAAAATCTGCACCATAAGTTAAGGCCCTGAGGAAAGATGTAACATAACTAGTTAAAATATACTTTCTGGGTAAGGATATTGTTGCAGCTGTTTATTCTTGCTCTCTTCCTAGACTCACTCTCAAAGCCATACTATTCAATGATGCATGGTCATTTCTTTCATACCAAGAGGTTGTTACTTGGTATAGGTTAGTTAAGCTATATCAAGACAGTCAATTAAGGCATTAAACAAGCTCTGATCAGATAGCTCTAGGCCTAGGGATGAGACAATGTGAAAATAACTTCTAGTGTTCCTCCACATTCTTTAATTCTTTAAGAAAGTGGTAGCAACTCATCAATATGGAATATGGTGGATAACCTTTTCTTTTTGGGGATAATCTTTGATTAAAGTCTGATTTCTTGGCCTTTTACACAGTTCTTTCTCCCTAGTAAAAGAAAGTTGGGGTTTGTAAGGTGGCAAGACTGCTTGAACATGCAAGAACTCCCCACAATGGAGGGGATTGATCTTGTCTCTGAATTAGAAGTAATGAAACGAACAGCTATAGGAATGGTTGTAGGTGGGATATAACTTCCAGGTTTACTACTGTTAACAACTTAGCTAATTGTTTCATTTTTTCCTTTAATTGAAAAATGTCATAATTTTTCACCAAGAACTGTTGGTATATGACAAAAAATTGAGGATGAATCATTCTGAGGGTGGATATCTAAGGTCCAAGAGATAAATGAGTTGACTATTCCCAACTTCTGCATTATTTCTGTTTGCTTTCCAGTTACCTGCCTCTGTCACCATTGGTTCCCTGAACTCAGGTGCAATTGTGGAAAAGAGGGAAACTGCCTAAACTTAAGTCTTTCCCGGTTAGCCCTATTGCTAGGTTTTCCACAAATTGTGCAGTTATGATGAGGCACTGGATGGCGCGGTTGAGACTTTTTTGCTATACCTTTCGAGAACTACACTTGAAAGGTGTTAGATTAATTACCATCTGTCTTTCCTATCACAATCAATCCCCACAACATCTTTCTAAAAGCTCTAGATAAATTGTCCATATACTGGGGCTTCTTCCAACTATATCATATTCTGTTCTAAAAACTTCAGTGGTCCCTGAGGGCTTTCAGAATAAAATCCAAATAAAATAAAATCCAAATAAAATCCAAACTTCTAGGCTCTCTATAGTCTAGTTTCAACTAAATTTTCCTAGCTTCTCTCTCACTTTTCTTCTTTGCACACCCTATAATTCAATGAAACAACTATTTTACTATGCTAGGGACATGTGCTACATGTTTTCTCACCTGTCTTTTTTTCATGCCATTTCTTTTGCCTAAAATACTCTTTCCACCATCTAGGTATATGCACAAACTCGAATTACACCCTTTTTGGGTGTAAAGACTTTAAGACTTTCCTCATTCTCCTTCCAAAGTAATTTCTATCATTTTCCCTTCTAGAGAACTCTAAATTTCTCTTTCAGATCAATGATTTGTATGTATATGTTATCTTCCCTTATAGACTATCTGGTTGATATATAAGAAGGCATGTCACACAAGGCTAAGACATACGTACTTTGATCATAAGTGTTCAACAAATGCTAATTGAGTGAATGAGTGAATGAATAAATGAATGATGAACAAGTTTGTCATTTTAAATTATTATTTATCATTCAAAACCACTTAAAGTTATCTTTGCATTCCAGTATCATTTAAAATCTTTCCAGCCTCAGAGCCTAAAGTTGCTTCTTAAGGTATTAAGGAAGGAACTAAATCGTAATGCTAACTGTAAGATTGAAAAACATTCATATCTTGACACAGAATAATCATTTATTTGTTTTTGTGTTAAATATTATAAATTTGACATTCCAGATCTTTGAATGAAAGATGCCAAATAAAACTGATAAATTAATGGACAGCAGATGGTCATTAGTCCCATTAATACATTTTCCAGTCCTTACAGACCAAAATAAACTTTCCTGGTAATGTTGGTATCTTAGGTTTGTTTATTTATAACTAAGTCAAATCAATGACTTGTATTAGGTCATAAAAAGAAAATTGTAGAACTTTCAAACAAGTAATGACTCATAGAAGGATAGAGATCATGTAGTCTAAGCCACTCATTTCACAAATTATGGCTTTGCTTATCTTAAACAGCATTTAATTTATTTTTATAGAATTTAATGTGATCCCCAAATAATGAGACCCACACTATATGAATTCAGAGATACCTAATTCCTATCCCTGCCTTCAAGCAGCTCAAAGTCTGGGTGGGGGGTGATAACTCAGAAATATGGAAAACTTAAAATACAGTATGGTAAGAACTCTCTTAGAACAAAGAAAATGGGCTATTAATTGGTCAATATAAACAAACAATAAACACAAAATTAATTTTTTTGTGCAGATGACAAAGGAATTTACTTTGTTAAGATAATTTGCAAGTTGAAGAAACAAGATTGATTTAGAAAGTGGAACCATACCTCTTTCTGACACTGCAGTGCCTTTCACAAGTTTTCCTAGTTAGTGGTCAGTGCTTCTTATGATGTAATTTCAGATGAAGTCTAAAATGAAATCACAAGATTGAAAAGAAAGTCAGTGACCTTAGGAGTCCAGAAGGGTTATGGGAACTTAGTGGCCTTAAGTACAGATCCAGGGTGTGTCATGGGACATCACAACTTTACCGACAGATTTAGGTCTAGTTATTTGATTCCTTCCATGCCTCTTTCTTTCTTCTACTATCATTTTTACATCCCCAGGGGATGGGGGTGGAACTTTGAGTATGGACCAGGGCTGATCACAAATTTTTGTTGCTGTGTGCAGGAAGCTTCTTTATCTAAAGATGAACCCAGGATTATAAAAATACTCTCCTCTCTATGAAACCATGATATTTCCCCTATTTTCTCTTCTAAAATGTTTGTTATTAAGTTCAAAGGGGAAATAATTTGGAAGTTCATATACAAGGATCTGTTTTTTTAGGGAAAAGCATTAGAACATTAAAAATATCAAATATATCTATCTGGAATGGCTTATGGACAGTTTTTCTTGAAAGAATTATAGATTCGAAGACCTTGGGCCTTTCTCCCTAAAATCTCACAGTATCAGTTATTGTTTATATCATTAATTTGGCATATTTATATGCCTTCAGAAATCAACTGTTTTACAGTTTGTATTGTTAAATTTTCATGAGTATATGCTTCTCTTCAATTAAACTATATCAGAAAATCTAACGAAGTGTAACAAATCTCCAAGAAATAAACAAATAAGGGCTTTTGTGAAATGGTAGCAACCTGCACAACCCTCCCCCCCCGTTTATATTTCCCTATGGCAATTTTCATCCCTGAATGCGGGCACCACATAGGCTGGCCACTTTTCATTTATCTGTGGCCTAAGTACCAAAAAATAAATATCTTTCAGTTTATCCTTAGCAAGTATCAACACACCAGACTTTTCTAAAGGAACTCTGCTGAAAAAAAAAAGAAATCAAATGGAAAATAAAGGAAATTAAAAATATAAAACGGAGACAAGTTTTAAAAGTAGGAATATGAACCTACAGCTCTAATATTGCTGTTTGAATCCACTCTGTATTCAAATATTCAATTTTTTAGATCCTCTCCAATTTATTTTCCCCTTCTGAATTTCCCTTCTTCTCCCAATAAGGAATTGTTATAGGTAACTTACTACTAGCAGTCTGGGTGAAGTATGGGCTGCAGGCGAGGAACTAGTCAAACTGAGTTGGCTTTTTATTTTTTTACTTATTCAATAAATTTTCTTTTTTGTTTAGCTTGTCCTAGATATCTGTAATCAATAAAGGTATACTGACTGAATATTGAATGAAAAAATTCTGAGCCTAAAATTATATGATTTCACTCATTTATGGAGAAAATTAACTTTACTCTGTCACAATTTTGTGTTTAGTCAAAGCTTATATTTTTTC